CTGGCTGTACGGGGGATGCTGAGGCTGAAGGTGGCGGGGGAGGCCTGGGGGCTGCGCCTGGCCAGCAGGTTTAGCCCCGCTTCCCTTTTTGTTCCCTCCCCAGATCGCAAAGGAGGTGGCGAAGTTGCTGGAGATGAAGGCGCAGCTGGGAGATGAGGGGAAGTCCAAGTTCGTGCTCAAGACCCCGAAGGTAACGTCCCCGAACATATGCGCTCACGCAGCTCTCCGTGCCCACAGCCTCCTCGTTTGAACACCCGCACGCGCCTGTGTGTGCGAACTCTTGGTGTGCAACACTGACCTGCCTGTCTTTGCTCTTGTTTCTGTTTCGTTTTTGCTCCTAATAGCCAGATGGTGGGAAAGAGAAGTATGAAAATGTCCCTGGCAGCATTCAACCCAGATATCCCTACTAAAACTTAAACGTTTCTGGTGCCTTTGTGATAAGCCAACCACAAGCTGATGCAGTTAAGGACGGAAATTCAAGTTATTTCACAGCTGCACACTCTAAGAGGTCTTGCATCTGCATAGGTTGCACTGTTTGAAGTAGGGTCATGACTTGTATTACCTCTGGTGAGCAGTTTAGGACTAGGACTCTTCAGGCTACGTAGCATTGACCAGTAGCACCAGTGTCTGCAAACATTGGCTCTCAAAGGTAGGGATCCTCAATGTGATCGTGTTCCCTGTTAACCTGCCAGAGTGGGTGAAGCTGCTGGCAGGCTGAGCGAGTGCACGGTGCTGTGAAGCGTAGCTGTGCTGGGACTAGGCTTGGTGGGGTAACTGCAGAGAATATACGAGCCAAAGAAAGCTAAATGCCTGGCAGTGCTTACCAGAAATGTTCAGCACGCCTTACAGTGAGGCAGGGAGGAAGGGTGTCTGTTTTCCTCATAGCTTCTGGTCTTGCATCAGTCTGTGGGAGTGGAGCCATCCTGTATAGAGTGGGTCTGGTCTGCGGCCAATATCTCTTTGTCCTTCCCTGAGGAAGGACTCTTTCCTTATGGACAGCTTTTCAGTCTTCAGGTCCCAGAGAACAGCATGAACTGTGTTACAGGTACTGAAGTTTTAAGTTTTTTGTAGCCGGAGTGTTTCTTTGCTAGCAGCTGACCAGAGCGAAACTGTTCTCCCATGCTGTGACCTGTAGACAGCTATGAAACCAGCTTATGTTAACTCTACTGACTCAGAGGAAAGCCTTCAGAACTTTCTCCCTTGACTATTCTGTTTCCTTTATCGTATATTTTGGTAAAAGTATTTGTGATCTGAGACCTAAAAAGAGGATGAGTATCTAAAGATTTGGAGAGGGGGTTCCCAGCTCTGTGAGTTCCAGGGGAAACACAGCTGGGGTTTCCTGCCTGTCTTAGCCATGTCAGGGCACTATTGAAAGCCACTCTTCACTGTGTGACCTGCAGGCAGGGTGTTGCCGAGTGTAATATGCCTGACCTCTGCTTTCTCCTGTCTGACTGTCTCTATAAAAGAGAGATGCAGTTAATTAACAGTCAGTTATGTGTTGCTGAAAGCCTAAAGCGGATGATCAAAATATTTAGTGACTCTAAATAGTGGAAAAATTAAAAGGGAGCCCATCCCAGTGAACAGCAGATGGGCACTTCATAATTAGCACCCTTTGAAAATATCTGACTTCTTTCTTTGTCAGTTCTTTGGAAAATACAAAGCTACTGCTTGTCTGGCAGCTTCAAAACGTGTCTGCCCTCCTAGCCCAGCATCAAGAATGCGTTATTGTATGGATCCAGCTGATGGATCTGAATCAGAGCTGTGGACAGATCCTCGCTGTACGATCTGCTTTAAGAGCTCTCAGCTCTCTGGGTCCTGGATTGGCGTTAGCTCCTTTGTCTACTGCCTCTTGAAACACCTGGCTCACGTTTGGCTCTGCTGACTGTGACAGATCATGTATGAGCTGGGTCTTGATGTCTTCTAGTATTCTTTTGTGCTGCTTTTTACCAGCTGTCCTGACATCTGGTTTCTGGACTGGATCTTGGTAGATTGTGCACCTCAATTCTCTCTTCTCTGTCTCCTGCTGCGTGCCTGGCCCTCAACAGAGAAAGCTGCTGGGATTCTCTGTGTTACCTCCAAACTGATGTGTTTTTTGTTCTTCTTTTCCTCATTTCATCCCAGGGCACACGAGACTATAGCCCCAAGCAAATGGCCATTCGGGAGAGAGTCTTCAATGCTATCATCACCTGCTTCAAGCGCCACGGAGCCGAGGTCATTGACACGCCAGTGTTTGAGCTGAAGGTGAGCAAGAGCGTGGCAAGCTGGCTGAGCTGGTTCAGGTCGTGCAGTTGAAAGCATAGGATGTATTTACAAGGTGGAAAATTCATTAATGCTGACCTTAAGGGACCTGTGACCTCAGGAGATCGTGGTCCCTCTGTGGTAAATTGGAGGGCTAAGGAGTATTTTCTTCCATCTCCTGGGGCGTCCTTCCTTTCCGTCCTTGTTCTCGGAGTGCTTTGGGGCTGATCCCCTCGATCAACTTTTAGGTAGCACAGACAGGTTGTGGACTCACTGTCCTTGGAGATATTTAAAAGCTATCTGAACATGGTCCAGGGCAACCTGCTGTAGGTGACCCTGCTTGACCCTTGAGGAGGGCTGGAATAGATGATCTCCAAAGGTCCCTTTCAACCTCAACCATTCTGTGATTCTGTGATCCACTGTCACTGAAGATGCTGCTTGTTCGTTTTTCTTTTTTGTAGGAGACACTGACGGGGAAGTATGGAGAAGACTCGAAACTCATCTATGATCTGAAAGATCAGGGGGGAGAGCTGCTGTCCCTGCGCTATGACTTGACTGTATCCTGCCACAGCCCAGTTCCCGCAATGCTGCGGGGTCTTGTAGCCTTTGGTATGCCCCTTTTGGGGCAACCCTGTCCAGAGGGCGAAGGAGGAGAGTTTCTTGATTCTGACCTCTGTAGTGGCATGGAGAGCGTGAGCAGATGGCCTGGTTCAGTGTGGGCAGGGCTCTTGCTCAGTTACTTGCTGTCCAACGCTTCAGTTGAGGGAAGTAATGCTTGCATGTGGAGGGTAGGGAGATCTATGTTAAGTAGGTTTTGTTCTACAACAGGGCACCCAATCCAGGCTACAGTGGAACGCAAGCCACATGGGAGTGAGATCTAGCCTGCAGCAGTGTAGGGAGGTGCCTGTAGGGACAGGTGTCCTTGTGCTAACAGCAGAACATGTGGGACTGTGTCTCAGAGAGCTGGGGAAGCCTCAGGGAGCTGCAAGGAGTCCAGACACTTGTTGTTGCTTTGCCTCATGGATATATACCCTACTGTGCTGGATTTTGGGGAGATAGTGAGGGCCCAGCACTGCCAGTGGGTGATGACAGGGTGGGGTGATCCCTCTCCGTTTTTGTCCTTAACCTTTTGGTTCTAGGTGCCTTTTGCTCGCTATTTGGCAATGAACAAAATCACCAACATTAAGCGCTATCACATTGCTAAGGTGTACAGGCGGGACAACCCAGCCATGACCAGGGGCCGCTACAGGGAATTTTACCAGTGTGTGAGTTTGGCTGTTGGCAGGGGTGTTGCTGAGCAGGACTCTAGGCTGGGCAGTGGTTGTGGGGACGCAGGACCAAAGTCTGTGCCATCCTGAGGTCTGCTTCCCTGTGGCTGTAAGAAGCTTAGAGAGAATCCCTTGACTTTCTCCCCTGTGGGTACTAAACGCAGCTTGAGAGTGGGAGAGACTGAAGGCAGTCATAACACAGGGCCCTCTTGTAACAGGGAACTTAGTAATGCAACCTCCCGGTGCCGCAGGTAGCAGGCCATGCTTCGCACTAAGGAGGAGGGCAGCTCCATACTGTAGTGCTTGCCAGTCTGGAGCAGGGGAAGAATTTCCTCCTGATCCCACATCTGGCATCAGTTTTACATTTGGGGTCTGAACAGGGCGCGTGAATCAGGAAGGTGAGTGACTCAGCCATAGCACTTAATTGCTTCTCTCCTGTGCTTCGTCGAGCCTCCATTTCAAATGAAGGCACAGAAAAAAGAGGCCTAATTACAGAACAGGTCAGAAAGCAATTTCTTATGTGGCTCTCTCAGACAAGTATAGGAGCCCTGAAGAATGGGTTTGTTCCACTGTATTAACACAATCCGCAGGCCCTCATATCAAAACCTGTCTTAATTGAGAATATTCCTGTTTCTTCATGCAGTCCATGTTGATATCTCTCAATTCCTGACGCTGGCAAATTTCCGTTCTCAAAATACTTAGGGTATTTGCTTGGTGTCTCATTTGAAAGACCATTCCAGTGAAGTGCTGCTGCCGCGGCCACAGTAGCAATGCCAAAGTGCTCACTGCCTTTTCCTGTCCCCAGGATTTTGACATCGCTGGCCACTTCGATCCTATGATTCCTGATGCTGAGTGCCTGAAAATAGCGCATGAGATCTTGAGTGAGCTGCAGCTTGGAGACTTTCTTATTAAGGTGAGACCAGAGCCAGATCCCCAGGCAGGATTCTCTGTGCTGCAGTGCAAAGCAGCGGTCGTCGTCCCTATGGCTCTACCGAGCAGCTACCCCTCTCTAATGCCCGCTGAGGCCTCATCCAGAAACCCTAGTTCATCTGGCCTCTCCTTGCTCTTGTGCTGTCTCTGTTTACAGGTTGAATGTTGGTCCTCATCTCAGACTGCCCTTCAGATGGGAACACGGTGGGTTCCCTCAGGCCAGAGTTAGAGTTCTCTGTAGCGTTAACCGTGGTCCCCTGCAAAATGTCTGGCAACCTGAGTAACAACGTGTCTGTCGTATTCACTGCCTGCAGTAAAATACAGACTCTAAGCCAGGATCTCTGCCCTTGTCTCAGCTTCTGATGCCCCCTTAGTAGGGATGTCTCCTGTTCGTGTGCAGCATTGTCTGCAAATTCCTGCCTTCCCACCAGATCCTTTTTGGGGCTGAGACCTCTTCCAGAAGACTCATGCATTACTCTAGGTTGTGCTTGCCATTTGCTTCAAAACAGCTGTCATCTTGGTGTGGTACTACGTGGCCTTGGGTGTGCAGATCAGCCAGGATGGGTGAGAGTTTACAGTGGCAGGAGTGTGATGAGTAGGTGGATCTGATGTGCCGGAGGGCGGTGGGAGCTCTGAGAGAGACCTAGAGCTGGACTGTTGTTGAGCTCTGGGAGGTGAGAGGCACAGGTCACATCTGACTGCAGGCTGGGTATTTTGCTCGCCTGGGTGGCCCCCACTGAGTGGGAAGTCGGCTTTCTGCCCTTGAACCGGTCTGGGATAAGCTGAAGGGCTGTGCACAGGAACTGCCTCTCCAGATCAAGTTGAGGTCCAGCTAGTTTGTGTTTGGCCAGTGGCAACAGCAGATTCCTCTGAGGACAGGCAGGCAACCCTGCAATGCGGAAAGGCAGAATAACCTGCCTGTGTTGGAAACAGCTCCATGTCTTCCATGAGTGACCGTCTGGTTATGTCAATAACCATTGAACAATCTTTGTTTCTATCTAATTTAACTGCAGATGTTCTCGCTACTCATAGAAATGTTGAATCCAGCTAAACCTTTGGCCTCAGTTACCTCCTTGTGCAGAGCATAATTAAACCATAGAATTCACTGTGCTATCAAAAAAAAAATCCCTTAACAAGGTTTTAACATAATCAGATATCGCTTTGTTCTTGACCTGAGAGAACAGGGCAGTGTGCTCAATTCATCTCCTCAGTTCGTGGTCTATTCCTGAGCTGTTTTTCCACCTGCACCAGACTGATGGCATATGTCCCCATATAAGAGGACTTAGTTTTCTTCAGCTTTTTCTCTGTTGAATGAAGGTGTCTGTGGCTCTAGAAGGAGAAGCTGATGGTTGTACCCAGGCTTGGTAGGATTCAGTTGCACTAGTTGGCCTGGTGTGAGAAGAGAGGCAGCTTTGCTCCCCAAGAGTGAGGAAGAGACTGAAATTGCCCCGGAATTATAAGCAGCAGAAAACGCTGGCAGCCCCTTGCACTCTAGGTTGACTGTGCTGTTTCTCTTCCACTATCTGTCAGTCCTCTCCACTGTTCCAGCTGAGTCTCGGTCTCCACGTTCTGGTAAAGCTCATCTCATCCTGACCTTTACTTTCCAGTTCCTAATCCATGATGAAATTTTGCCCATTGCTGACTGTGGCTTCTTGAGTCTCTGGAAAGGTCTACTGGCATAGGCTTTTGAAAATGCAGATAGAATCCAATGCTGTCCTTTTTCCCCGCTATTCTGAAATGGGAAATATCTTATCCATCAGAATGCCAAGTGGCTTGGCAAGGCTAGGGTGACTGCTAGTTTCTCTCTTCCATTCCTAGAACCAGAGAGGAGAGAAACTGGATTCAGTTGAAGCATCTATTTAAGTTCGTAGTAAATGACTTGCTCCCTGTCCCCTAGGTCAACGATCGACGCATCCTTGATGGGATGTTTGCAGTTTGTGGTGTCCCAGACAGCAAGTTCCGGACGATCTGTTCCAGCGTTGACAAACTGGATAAGGTATGGGCTGGAGCTCTGGGCTGTGGTAGCTGTTGCTGAGGGCTGTGAGAGCTGGCTGGAAAATGCCAATAAACATTGAGTTGCTGCTGTTTCTTTCTTTCCTTTCCCACACAAACGTTGAGAAGGAGGCATGTTGGGCACTGCAGCCATGTAGCAGAGCTGGATTTTATGCTTTCTCCTCCGACATCCCACATGGTGCTGACAAATGGAAAGGAGAGAGGGAAAGGTGCCTCTTCTCCTTGGAGGCTCTGCAGGTCCCTAAAATTAATGTCCCAAACCTCAGCCTTCTTATGCTGCCACTGCTTATGAACCTAGAGCTTGAGATCCCACCTTTCAAACTGGGCCATGATTTTGAAAAGCCCTTTCTAATGCGGTGGTTTTGGGCTGGTGGGTTAAGGTATCACCGTTGTGTTCTGGAACCTTTGTTCAAATGTCAGAACTCAGTAGGGAAGAGATCTTGATGTAATGGCAAGTCACTGTGGTTGTCTAGAAGCAGTGAACTGCAGTCATTCATAAAGGCAGTTACCCTGCAGGTGACAGGGCCACATCAAATGGAAATCGTTGAGTTGGCTGCAAAAATCATTGTGTTGTCCAGCAAATCTCGCTGTCGAGCAAGTGCTATTCTTGCTTAGCAATGTCACGTCCAGCATCCTCCCTGGGAATGTGGGGTCTGTAGTGGGTCCGTGTTGCTGGCCGTGCTGCTTGGGGGTAATCACGGCATCCTAGTAGAACATGTGCCTCTGGCTGGGTTGTGGGAGTCTTGGGAGATGAAGTGAGAGAACAGCAGGAAGACAGCAATAGGAAGCAAGATGGACTTAGAGGAATGAGGTTTCCATGTTCACTTGGAAACAAGTGTCTGAGGTAGAGAAAGGGATCAAGAAAAAAAAGCAAGAAAGAATAAGAGATCGGGAACACAGGCCTGAAGAATAACCTTAATGGCATATTCCTGCCTTCTGGCCTGGGGAGGCGTGGTCTGCTTGGTCTCACACTGCATTATATCCACCACTGCATGTGTCCACACTCATTTGTTGCCACCATCAGCACAAGGATCTCTTGCTGGGAATGTGGCTCCTTGGTGTTAACAGCTGGCCTGACCGTGCAGCATCCTAGCAGGCCACAGACAGTGTGAACATGTCACTCAGTGCCATAATCTCTCTGCTCAGTGCTGTGAGACCCTGGTAGCCCATCCCATGTTTCCTGTTCGCTTCATTCATGCCTGCGCTGGTTGGTTTAGGTGCTTTTATAAAACATGCTGTTTGTAGACATCACATTTGTATGGCTTGCTTGGGTTTGATATGATGCAGAACACTCTGTGCACAGCTGCTCCTGTTAGACACAAGAGAGGAGGTACCCACACATTCATGCTTGCCAAGCTGCCTCAAGAGCGCTAGCTGTCAGTTCTCTAAAGGGATTCAGGCCCTTATATGGCCTTTTGGAGATGAGAGAAAGGTGCCAGTCTAGGAGCAACTTTTTGTTTGCAGCTAATTCTATTGACTGTAGACCCCGGTCAGATATCTGGATGATGGAGAGAAGTCTATAAAAGTGTATACTGTCCTCTACTAATAGCTAAGGAGTAGGAATCTTAAAATAAAGATGCAAATTTTAGGCTCCAAGTTTTAGGGCAGCTTTGCTGCCTGCAGCATGGGGATACAAAGAGACTGTGCGGAGGTATAAGAGATGGAGTTACAGCCATGTGTTGAGAGCATGGCAGAGGTGATAAGGCAGTTCTCCATGTACAGCTTGTATCTCCCAAGAAGTGCCAGCGTTTAGGGAAGAGTGAGCATCGGATCAAGCAAGCTAGCTGCTAATACAAATCAGCACCTTTTGCCATGAGTCCTTCTGTCCCTTTTCAGACAGCTGAATACAGCATGGGGAGCTTGCCTGCTCCTGCCAGTACTGTTCCTGGTCTGTGCTTCCCAAAGCCCCTTTTAAGATTTCTTGGTAGGATTCAGTTCAGTCAGCAAACCTCAGCCCTGATGTGGAGCGGAACAGTGTTATTGCTTCACTGTGTCCAAGTTGCACCTTGGTAGCATTCCCAAGTTGCTTCTGACCTTGCAGGTGAGACAGTGCTAGCACTGTGGGCTGATTATCTGCATACTCAGCTTCATACAAGGGTTTCCAGCTGTGCTGAGGTCTGTGCTGTCTCAGTGCAGGCCTGCTGCATGCATTGCAGGTTAGGCACAGCTGTAGAAGCAACAGTACCAGGTGAGAGCGAAGCCAACATCTTGTTTGCAAATGCAAGTGCCAAGGGAAGAACTGAAGAATGGTAAGCGTGTAGTGATGCCTCCCCCAGACATGCCCCAACTTTCTCACCAAATGTGCTCTACACATTGAGAGAGTGAGATATACTGTTGGAAAGCATCAGGTGCGGTGGATTCTTTCTGTCGTATGCCTCTGTCTTCATTTGGGCACTGATCTTTGTCCCCTGTGTCTTGGTTTTTCTCCTTAGTAGAAAGGATGTAGTTGTCTGGGTTGTAACTGGGTATGTGCACATATCTATATTAGGGAATGATTGGACTGTTTAAAAGACAGATAAATCAAGCCAATTTCAGACTTCGAAACGACCCTTGATTAGAGTGATATTCATTAACAGTACACATTGCCAGTGGATAGTTCTTAATTATTATCCAGCATTATCACCACAAAGAATTAGTCATATACAATCTCATCCCAAATTAGCTGTGAGTGTACTTAACTGTTGCTGTGTAGTTAACACTGTTGGCTCTATCCTTGATGATCCCAGCAGCTGAGGTGGAGGCGACTTGAGCTTTCCATGGAGGGAAGGTGGAACTAAAGTGCTCAAATTCTTTCTTTCTTTCTTGTTTTTCACCACTCATTATTGGTATTTGTATGCTCCTGATTCCATTCCCAAGAAAAACGGAGGGGTTTCATCTGCTGCCAGCATGGTTTGTCTTGTTTCCGGGACCAGGACTTGTTCTGATTCCGCCATACATCTGTCCTGCTCGTTTTGCACCCTCTGTTGTTGCGTTGCAGATTTTAGTCCTTCCCTGTGCTTGCCTTCACCTCCTTTACGCAGCTGTCACAAATCTGTTTGCTGCTTTGTGGTTACATGTTTATTATATAGTTATGCTGAGCTCTGTAGCAAAAGGTTTTTACATAGTTGCTGGCAATGCGATTAGTAGTGTTACAGTGTTACAAAAGGCTACTACAGTGTCGGTTATTATATTACACTTCTAGGTGGGTTCAAGGCAAGTGTATTAATTATGTGCTGCTAAGAATACTTCATGGGTGCAACAGGCCTTAGCTTTGGCTACATGTCATTTTCTGTTTCTCTCATGCAGTGCTTGCCCGCCCTGACACTGACAGAGTCCCACAGTGTAAAGACAGGTTGGAAGCAGATGAGTCTGTTCACCAGTATAAGGCAGGACAGAGGGCCAGGGCTGCCAAAGAGGGTCTCCAGGAAGGACAGTATCCCTGGGGCAGTGGCTGATGTTCTTGTCTTCCCTTGCAGATGCCATGGGAAGATGTGAGGAGTGAGATGCTGGGAGAAAAGGGGCTCTCTCCTGAGGCTGCGAATCGCATTGGGGAATATGTCCAGCTCCACGGTGAGCGCTTTGCAGGGGGGATCCCTTCTCCCTCTCGGCTGAAAGCCCCCCTCCAGCCTGCTCGGTCATTGTCCCTACAAGCACTGCCACCCTCTTGCAGGCCAGGCAGGCAGGGGCCAGCGCACCCTGGGCAGGGGCAGAGGGTGCAAAGCAGCACCCGCGACCGACTGGGCCCACGGTGCCCAGACCCCAGTGCAGCTCTGTTGCTGGCTCCTGGCAGACCTCAAGCATGGCTTGTTCCCACAGGTGGCCTGGAGCTGATTGAGCAGCTCCTCCAGGACCCAAAGCTATCCCAGAATCAACTAGCCAAGGAGGGGTTGGGGGACATGAAGCTGCTGTTTGAGTACCTGACGCTGTTTGGCATCACAGGGAAGGTGAGGAGGTGCAGAGGCGGGGGGATGCTGCCATCATAGCTACAAAAGCCTCGGCTTGTGTCCTGCAGATCTCCTTCGACCTGAGCCTGGCGCGAGGCCTGGACTATTATACAGGGGTGATCTTTGAGGCCGTCCTGGTACAGCAGGAGAACAACCATGAGGAGGAGCCAGTCAGCGTTGGGAGTGTGGCTGGAGGTGGTCGCTACGATGGGCTGGTGGGGATGTTTGATCCCAAAGGACGGAGGGTGCCCTGTGTGGGAGTCAGCATTGGGATTGAGCGGATCTTCTCCATCATGGAGCAGAAGGTGGAGGTACGTGCCTTGGTGCTTGATTACAAAGGGAAAAAGGCGAGATTTACACTCTTCCCTGTGTCAGTTGTGCCCCAGTCCAGCAGATGCTGAAGTGAGTCTTACTCACTGTGGTCCTTGATGGAGGAGCCAGCCAGGACCCCACTCTGCTCTGCAGCAGGAGTCAGAGTCAGGTCACAGTCTCCCCTTTCCTGTTGCTTCGGAGATGATCTCTGGAGGTCTCACTAGAGATAAGATTCCTCTTCTAGCACCCCTGGAGATGGGAGCCTGGCATGTTCAGCTGCAGCTGTAGGGGGTACTTTAATTCTCAACAGTACCAGGTACTCAGATCAAATGCCTTAGTGTTCCCCACTGCATTGAACATCTAAAGTGACCCCCTGGCCTTCTTGGCAGCACTGTCCTGCAAGGCTGACTGAGTGACAGCAGCCCTGCATGTGTACCCAGCACATACAAGGCGCTATGGAGACCAGAAAGGAGTTGGATATCCCAGATTAGGGAGCACAGTGTGTCTGGGAGGTCCCGGATATCTTATTCCTGTTCCCTCCTCCTCAGAGTTTCTCTGGCCGTTCCTTGTCTTCAGTCCTATTCAATGTGTTATGCATGTCTTTGTAGGTTCCCAACACACTACCTCCCATTTACATCCCCCAGAGCTCTGTTGTGGGGAGCTCTCTCCTGGCAGCCAGATACAGTCTGGATTTCTTAGTGGAAAATGAACCCTCCCCCTACTGTGTCCAATCCTAGGCAGGTTTGTCCTTTTGCAGGTGACCTTTAAAGGCTTCTCCCTCCAAAGAATGAAGAGACAAGAAAATGCCACTTTGAGTATCCAGTGTCTCCTGTGGAAGCAGGTGGCTGATGATTACTCCTGACAGTGCTGGAGCATATCAGCTTGCTGCTGTTAAGTTCAACCCGCAGTTTCCAGCCCAGCTGTGGAGCAGACAGCTAACTCTGTCCAGCTCCTGCTGGGTTGCTCCAGAGCCACCCAAAGCAGGTTTCTGTGAGGCTGAAACCCCTTGGGTGCAGAGGAATGATCTCTAGGTAGAAACTGAGAGAGGTGTCGTTCATCCTCAGCAGATCCTCCAGCATGCGTGCACTTGCAGTGCGGGAGGGAGGCTGTGTTAAGCCCCCCTTGCAGAATGATCCCCCCGCAAGGTTGGATTTGGCTCCAGGAGAGGGTCTGTGGCCCCCTCCCTGACTGTGATGAGGCTATGCTGCTTGTCCCACTGAGCCTGGTCCTCTGCTGAACAGATGGACCTGGTATGTGGACCATTCCTACTCATAGGGTCTGGAATATCTTTGTATGTCCATGGCCTTTATTGAGTCCGCCTCTCCTCCAGGCCTCTGCAGAGAAGATCCGGACAACAGAGACACAGGTACTAGTGGCCTCTGCCCAGAAGAAGCTCCTAGAAGAGCGGCTGAAGCTCATCTCTGAGCTGTGGGACGCTGGGATCAAGGTACAAACAGCTGGTATCTAAGTGAGGAGCTGCCTGATCTACCCTCCTGTTTCCTGCTCCAGGAATTGACCTGATCTAGCTTTATCAGGGGAGGAGGGAGTTGTGGGGAGAAAGTGGGCAGCAGACTGCCTTCGTGACTGGAGCCTGCCTCTTCTCTGTGTCCTGAATTGGACGTTCCCTGGGAAGGGCTGGACGCAATTTGGTTAGCCCCCTAGCATTGCAGGGGCTACTCTGGCTGCATCTTTAGCTTAGGATGGATTTCCAAGCCAGGCAATGCTCTAACCCCTGCTGCATGGCAGCTGTGATGTCATGCTGCCTCCAACAGAAAGCCAAAAACACAAGGCCTTTCAAGGAGGGGAAGGAGTCAGGGAGGAGCCTGGGCTGTGTTTTGTGCATGTGAAAGGTGAGTTGTGTGGCAGGCCCTGCTCCCTGCTGGCAGCTTTCTCCCAGCCTCCTCAGAGACTGAGCAGTGCCTGGGTACTCTGCGGGGGATTCTGAGCCTGCAAGGACATCACAGGTGCCAGCCCTGGTCTGCTACAGACAAGCTAATGAGCTGGTGCTGTCCAGGATAAACGGGGTCTTGTGGGTGCCTTTGAGCTTCGTGGTGTTACTCACTAGCTGTAATGTCCAGCCTTCTCCGTTAGCTAGTCTCCCAGCCCGCCCCACTCACCAGACAGCAATGAGCAGAGTAGGACCAGGAATGTCTGGCTGAGGGTATGGAGAAATGGGCTGGTGCTGAGCACAGTGTTGTGTTCTGGGTCTCTTCCAGGCAGAGATGCTGTACAAGAAGAATCCTAAACTACTGAATCAACTGCAGTACTGCGAGGACACAGGCATTCCCCTTGTTGCCATCGTGGGTGAGCAGGAGCTCAAGGATGGAGTTGTCAAGCTGCGGGTCGTGGCCACCAGGGAGGAGGTGAGGCCTGTGGTACCTCGGAGTGGGACTGCAAGCTACTTGACCCTTCATCCCATCTCAGGCCAGCCCTCAAGACCTGTTCATACCCCGTTGTTCAGCAGCAGTGCAGTCAGGCTGTATGTAGCAAGGTGGCTTTGCAGGCTCACATTTTGAGCTTAGCATCCAAAGGGGGAGATTGAAGGAGCGAGGCACTTCCACCTAATGTGAAGAGCTTCCAAGACTTAGGACTGCTTGTCCGGGAGGTGCTGCGGAGGGAAAGACTGTCCACAGACGACAGTCAGAGGAATGAGAGCCAGGGCCGGCGGACTCGAGATGAGGTCCATGGATTGGTGGCAGTTCTTTAATAGGCCTGGACTTGTCTGTGCACCTTTGGAGACAGTGTGAGGTGAGTCTCCTCAGCCTTTCTAGCAGTTTAGGTTCTCAGGTCTTTATATATTGCCCCTCTCATTGGATTTTTTTTTTTAAAGCTGTGGTGTTTCAGAAGTCCCTGAAGACACCCGATGTTCCAGTTCTTCCCTCTGCACAGTTCCTCCAAGCCAAGGAGCACTGTCCCCTCCACCTCTGGAGAGTCTCCCATCCCGTGGCCTCCTTGAACTCCCAGCTCCTCAGTTCAGGGGTCTGGAGTGTTGGGGGGGAAACTCAACGGGCTGTGTGGCTGCTCCCGCTCTCCTTCCAGCGCATAGGACATCACTGATCACCCTGGGTGTGCTGTGTTAGGATGAGTGGTGACAACAGTAACCCATGCACTGGCTGTGGCTTTGGAACCAGTAGGAAGCAGTCTGAGAAGAACGTAGCTCTTCAGTTATTTGTCAGGAGGGTGCGTGGCAGAATTGCTGAGAGGCACTGCCACTTGCAGGGCCCTATCTAGATCTGCCTTTGCTGCTTGATCTCTGTGGAGGAACAGGGGACAGAGCACCATGGTGTGATCTCCTGAGACAGGGCGGCGAATGCAGTGTGGGCCGTTCCTCTAGGACCAGAGAAAGTCGCAATACTTCAAGCTGCTTGTGTTGTATTTATGGAACTTTGTGCTCCCCCTTTATAGGTTGATGTTCGCAGGGAGAGCCTTGTTGAGGAGATCAAGACACGAACAAGCCCGTCTTAAGCCCTTCTGGCTGCCTCTACTCATTCACTGGATTTCAGCTGACAGACTTCCTCCTGTAAATGCCAAGCAGTGTGGCAGCGGGTGCAGGGCTGGGGAGCATTTGAAAGCTGTATTTATTCTCGACTTGTGCCCTCCTTTTCCCAGTGGGAGCAGAGAAGCTGCATTGCCTTCTACAAAACACTATGGCCCTGAGCATGTTGCTGGAAAGATGTTTTGCGAGAGTCCCTGGCAAGCGTTTGCCTCCTGTCCGTGATCGTTATGGTGACATGTGGAGCCCCATGCTGTTGGCAGACCCCGGGGTCTTGGCTGCAGCTTCTTGTTCCCTTCATTTTGAATAAACCTCCTATCTAGCATCTCTGCTCTGGCTGCAGGGAGGTGACCTTATCCAAAGCAAAATGTAAAGCCCATTCCAAGAAACATAATAAATCTTCTGTCTGTCTTATCCCTGCCTTCTGTTTTCTCCTGCTTTTTGTTTGGGGCAGGGATTCATTTACCTGCATCCGCTACTCTGAGTGTGCCATTTTGGCTGTTTCTTAAGCTGCACTTCCCGGCCCCTTGAACGAGTGCTTCTGCGAAACACTGCGCTGCGTGCAAAGAAACAGTGTGCTGAGGTCTGGCCCAGACGAAACAGCACAGCCCTGTGCAGGCTCATCATGCTGCTGCGCCAGCTGAGACGGGTCTCCTTGCCCCCTGCGCAAAGACTGTGGGTGCTCTGTCCCCAGCGGTAGCCACCCCAGCTCTGTGCCCGTTCACCTCAGCGCTGACCCACACCTCTTGCCCAGCACGGTGCTCGGGGCCCCTCTGCAAAGCAGGTATATTTTTTGATTTGCCTGATTTTTCCCTTTCCCAGCTGTCCTGCGGTTGCGGAGCCCACGTCCCGCCGCGAGGCGGTGGGGCCCATAGCTTGGGGGCCCGGGGTATCCCC